TCAGGGGCCAGAAAATGATCATGACAATAATGTTAAAATAATATCGTTTGGGCAAACATTCACTCGGGCCTAAGCTAGGCCATTTGCCAGGTTTAGTAAAAAGGAAAAAGAAAAAGTATATATAAGTTTATCATAAGGTATTATCAGTGTCGATATCTGTCCGTGAAACTTCCATCTCACGTTTCCCCCCCTCCAGTGTGGATATCCCTACTCGAATGTGAGTTTTGTACTATTCCTTGGATATCTCGCTGTGGGTCAAGTCGGCCAAGAAGGAAATATCGCGACCCTGGGTGTGGTAGTTCACAGTAATTAACCCATCAAAATAACCCCAGCGGTGCTGTGGGAACCTTTTAGCCTTCGCCACAGCAGCAGGTTTGTCCGTGCTAATTGTACATCCGGCATGTACCATACGGTAAAAATGGAAACTTTTTTATAGGGACACTCCCAATTGTGTAAACATGGTCGGTATGTATGTAGCTCAGTCTTTTTTCTAAATTTCTATCACGTAAATTCATCCGTTTGTGAGTTTACATCTGCAAAAACACTGTTGGGCAAACTTGACGTCGACGAATGAAGATGATGTAAACCTTTCAGAACAATTTTGAAGCCTAAACCTGGAGAATGGATGGAAACGTCTATACGTTTGGTTTGTTGGTTTATAGCCCTTCACGATGTGTGTTCGGACGGGTTATTAGCGTTTGTAAAATTTGAAGAGAAGCACTAACTCTGTGAACATAAGCAGGTTTATCTGACAGAGTAATGTAAGGCAGAGCCGCCCAAGACTGACAGGGTCGAAACCATGGTCTTCCGTTAGGATTTTCGAATTTCTCAAAACTGGTGTGATAAATAAATGTATTTAGCTTATGTGACATGCTAGTTACTGGCTTTATTTGGATGTTGTCTCTACTTTCACGATAGTGCAGGCCTGTTTGTTCATTTGGTTTCTTTCCTTAAGAAAGGTTCACTTTCCTCTTGAGAAACTATGATATATAGTTAGAAAGTATGATAACCATGACGAATGTCTCCTAGCGTCCTAGGATTACCTTCTTGCTGAGAATGTTCTCAACCGCCGTACAAACAAAGCCAATCCAAACTAAAATATCACCGCATCTAGATGGAGAGTTGTTTCTTAGAAAGACATTTTAAGAACACAGAGAGAATGCCGGCAACCTCTATCTTATTTGAAAGGTTCTATAGACATTGTAGAAGTCTATAGCCTTGCTGGTATTATAGATGTGTCCATTTAGCTGCGACTTTCGAGAGAACACTTTAAATAATTGTTCTAAAAAAAACATTACTCCGATTACAGAATTGTCCCTCTTGGCCCTCTTATATGGAACCACACATGACCTACGGCTTAGCTCTTGGCCGCCCCACAGGCAAGCTGAGTCATGACCCACTTCTGGGACAGAAATCATTGTATGGAAATCCCTACCGCCTTCTTCACTTCCAACGCTCTACCATTTTGCCCGTCATCCTTGCGCAGGGTCAATGCTAATTTAAACTGTATATTTCTTCTACTTTTTTTGTATTGTTTTAGCATAGAGCACGATATGAAAGATCCGGTGGAAATTTTCTCCGCCCTTTCTCCAAGAGTCAGTACGACCTAGTGGAGCTTGTCGTGGAAGGTACTCCGATGCTGTGAGGTTTCCTGAGACACATAGTTGTAGAAAACTTCCATTTATAGTAGGAATTACAGTTGCTCTCTCTATATATCCTAGCGCCCGCCTGAGGTGTCCCCTCGCGTTTGTTTGTCACGTCCTTCAGAGTGCGACAACAATGGCCAACTTCCATTAAGAGGGACAAAAAGGCTGCACCAGAGTAATTGGCATTTAGCCGGCGAGGGTGATAAGACTTTTTTAGATTTTTTTCCCTCCAAGGAAAACCCAGGGCCGGGCAAGATTATCCGAATGTATGCTTCCGCCGCCGCGAGGAGCAAATATTTACTCTGGCAGCAGCTATCTCAATCACACAGTTGCGGTGGTAAATGTCTATGAGGTTTAAGAACTTCATCATAACTCGAACTTAGAGGTGTAATGTGTGCCAATATATGTGGAGCGGGAATTGATAAAATACGATAACCATATTGATCCCGGAAAAAATAGAAGCGCCAAAAACAAGTTTTAGTCAACACGCAGCATTCTTACAGCGCATTTTCTGTAGCATATAAGTACTGTGCTAGCTTTAAAAGAAAGGCCTTCAGTCAAATGGACACAAAAACTAATAGCCATCTATTGAGCACCTCTGCGAATCAGAACGTCCACTTGGAGACTTTGTCCCTCGTCAGTCCAGGACGGACTTCCGCTTCATGTGACCCTCACGGGGGATTCATGGAATATCTTCCGAGTTTGCCAGAGGTGAAGATCAATATCCTCCCAGAAAATATGCATATGTGCTAGCTTTGGTGTTACATACGCCAAAACCTTGTTTTAAGGACTTCAAAACTGAAATAATAGAGCACCCCATCAATGTATGTATTTGTATGGGCATCATGTATTGGTTTCACAACACTAAAACAGGCTTTATAAAGTTTTTGACGGTATACTCTATCACACGTATTTATTGGAGGGACCACACCTTTCAAAAGTAATGGGGAGAATTTTATCAAGACGAAGGAAGCATTGTGATAGTACGGCATATTAACAACGATTAGCATTTGAAAGGATGGCCGTAGAGATGTGAACAGTACATTCCGTAGAGAGAACATGGGGTATAAAATAATATGGCAACCGATAAAACCTTTTAGTGCTATAATAGTCACTCACACATAAGTATATACACATAAATTAGAGAGAAAAGGTTTCATAATATTTATATACAACAACAAAACAACAACAGCTAATATTTATATACAGTAAAAATTAATTTTATATAAAAAAACATCTTTAGATAATTATTTTTAAAAATCTACGAGTATAATATATAAGTATATTTACACTATGTACAACACAGGAGGAGTCCGAACCCTCGTGAAGCAACGCGAGGCTAGCCTATCAGGTTTCTTGTTATCTACTGCCCTATCTTCAGTAGTCAAAACCTCTCAATTAACCATCAATATATCAGCGCTCATTATTCGGTTCACTTTTTTAAAGACAAATTTCTACAACCACACACACGCTAAACATATTGGAAGGACTTTTATCAGCGGTTTCGCCAATTTGAGCTACCAGACACCGTATTTTGATTCTTATTCTCTTTATGTGTGTGGACTAAACCATTGACATGTTAGAGAAATAACACATTGCTAAATATCGCCTTGGGATTAGAGCGCTCTCTATATCCACAATGGTAGAACACTGCCTCATATGTTATCCCCAAAGGATTTTTGTCGACTCATTGAGAATTATTTTGAAAGCATAGTAGTTCTGATAGGGGAGATGTCAAGAAACCAGTGATCGCCAGTCTCACGTTTCTGTCACGATAGGGTTCTTGGACTGCTGTGGGCGCAGTCGTGGGGTTGAAGAAGTCCGACCGTTCCTGATTCCTCGACACTGATACAATTTTTGTTGTCCATTGCTCACAAAAATGTGCCAGTGCCAAACAACACAGGAGGTCGCCAGCAGACCGCACGTTGAATTGACAATTTCTCTATATCTTTAAAGGTTACAAAATAGGTCATCACAGGAAAAAACAAAGGAATTGCAATGGCCATATATATAAAGTGGATTAATTAAGGAAGTTCTGGAGGAAAAATGAAGGAAAAGAGAATTTAAGGAAGAAGAAGAATTGGACTGCATGAGATTCTATGAAGGAATAAAAAGATCTCAAGATGGAGAAGTATGACTACACAGAAGACCAGGTCCTGCCCAAGAGAACTGAAGATGGTTGCAGAGTGGACAAACAAAAATGGCGTTTGCAATTGAAGCGATGCTCTCTGTTTTTCTCACTAGAAGTAAAGGAAGTAATTTCAAGGTTTTTTCAAGTGCAGGAGGGTACTTAAAACTGCCTGTTTAGAGTATAAAAGTTTAAAATAACCCGAACTATTTATAAAATGTAGGTAGGCCCGCAGAAATCCGCAAAGAAGGCCTCAATATTTCTCCAGAGAATATTCAATATATTACACTTCATGGGTTTCCACCCAGGACTTTTAAAGATAACAATTAGTAGCCATTGGAGATCATAAGAATTACTGTAATATCGATAATCCCCAATGGCCACTAATTGTTAGTCAAATTTGGAGTTAACGATATTAATTGATCTAAGGCGGCCGCATTTCAGCCATGGAATCGCTAATAGATCCCTTTTTTTTGTGTGTTAATTAAAAATAGTCCAAGTTTACCAAAATAAAGTTTGATATGATAAAGAGCTCAAAGGGCTTTACTTTTCAAATCCCTATGTGACAGGAAATGGAATCAATGTCTCGAGATGTCTAGGCGGTAAATATATATTTAATATATCATTGAGTGTCTTATTTATTCTTTCATTCAGGAGAGTCTGCCAGGATGGCTCAACTGTATGGTCCCCTGGATCACCAATCCTAAAATTGTACTTTACAGCGACACATCAATGGTTTTACCTCTGATTCCTGGAAATAAAAGAAGCTCCCAACATTTAAAGGGTAATGGAAGAAGGACAAGAGAAGTACATTTCATTGTGATGGTTATCTCCGCTAGAACGACTAAAAAAACTCAACGCTATCCAATACTTTGAACTTTTAAGCTATTTTTTGCTCATCAGAATTTTATTTAAATTAAAAATAGTTTAGCTAAGATATTTAAGCCATTTTTACAATCCTGCATGAATCTGAAGACGTGGAAAGACTCCCGTGTAACCAATATAGAGGTGAATGTTAAAGGGATATATTTACAAAGGAACAAATGAATGGTATCATACTGTTGCACTCATCAGGGCAGGCCTGGTAGCATTGCTGATACCGAAGCATATGGTCTACTGGCATACAGTTCTATATACAATCTAGTATTTATATATAAAGAGAGTGTCTACAACTACGTGTTGTTATATACAGTAGATGGCGCTCCCAGGCTCGTCGACATCGATTCTCCCCTTTCTTTGGCACCCGAGAACCCACACCTCACTAAATTGTGAATTCTTCCAGTGCCAAGGACAAGGGGAGAATACCACATTCTTGTCCTCCTGCAGGGTAGGTAGACATGCAAGTATAGATATGTTGTTGCCATATTATTTTATATCGTCCCATGCTTTTCTCTACC